CTTCGCGACCAGCGGTCTCCATCCCGGCGCGCTCTGGACTCAATGCTTGTGGACTTGGTCAGTGACAGCGATGAGGATATCCTGGAGGTCGTAACCGCGCGTGGTGCTGCGGACCCGGTTGAGGTTCCGCTCTCAGGCCCCCCAGTGCCGGCAGCTACCCGGGACGACAGCGACAGTGACAGTGAAAGGGCGGAGGCGGAGCCCTCAGGATCTCCGCGGAAGCTGGTCAGGCGGCGGCGGCGGCGACTGCTGCTGGAACCAGGGGAGGCACCGGTGGTTCCTGTGTACTCTGGGAAGGTGCAGCCAGGTCCCCGGGGAGGGCTGGTGTGGAAGGGCTGAAGGGCGAGGGGTTTGGGCGACCAGAGTGGGGCCAGAGGCTCGTGGAGGGCGGGGCTGTATTTAACGAGTGTTGAGGCTGGGGTCCTAGGGCTGGTCTTGAGGGGCTAAACGGAAGCCAGGGGCTAGGTAGGGTGTGGGACTAGACAGAGATGCAGGACTCCTAGAGTTTCTGCAGACTGGGGAGGAGAAGGACTTTGGGATGTGTAGCTAGTTTGGAGTATGTTGCATATATGGAATCTCTGGTTGCTGTAGTCGTGGCGACACAGGGAGTCTGAGGGGTCTCTGAGGGTTCAGAGAGGGTCTGGGAGACCTGAGACTGGGATCTGAGACGGGTTGGATTTTGAGGTTGGGACCTATTGCTAAGGAAGCCTGGGAGTTGGAGTATTGGGGGCTGGAGTCCACAGGAGTTCAGAGAGGACTGGGGAGCACCAAGAGGCTGGGGTCTCAAAATGGTTGGGTAGGCTAAGGGGGCTGAGACTCTCAAGGAGTCTAGGGTAGAGGAATGGCTAGCAACTTAATTAAAAAGGAGAACTAGACTTGCCTTTTCAGAATGCCTTAGGAAAAGGGGTACTGGAAGGGTACTACAATTTCATATCCGGAACTGGACTCCTGGGACCCCAAGAGAGGGCCATGGAATTGATGTCCTTAGGGAAGTCTTGGGAGCTGGGTGTCAGGGAAGAATCACCTTGTTTTCCCTTTCTGTAAGGTGGGGACTTGAGACTGACCCTCTTACATTTTGCCTTTGCAGGTGAAAAGCAGCCTCCACCTTATCCCAGATCACCTATCCCTCCTGAAGCTCTATCCACCAGGGGCTGAGGAAGGTAATGGAGAGATTCCAGGGAGAGGCACCCAGTACTGGCTGCTCTGAGGAGACTTCCTGAAGTTTATATCCCTGTAGTCAGTTGTCTGTCCTGAGACTCAGGGGAAGGACATGGGAGAGGGGACTCTCTTGTGTACTTGCCAGGAAAGGGTTCCAGTTATGAAAGGACCTGAAATGCTAACCAGAAGACACAGAAGCTGACTTAGGAAGTTATGTCAAACCACCCTCCTCCCTACTCCTCTGGCATTAGAGTGTGTTAATAAGATGATTTCTAGTGCCACCCCCAGAGACTCTGATTCTGTAATCCTGGGAGGAGGGGTTGGGTAGGTATTGGGAATCTGTGATACCTTGTTACCTCTTCAACAAGTTCCCTGGGGAACACCCTGGAGCCCGCAGAGTGTTCTTTAAGTCTTATCAGGGTGGCTGCTCATTCTTTGTCCTCCCCCAGTGATTGTAATTTTTGCAAACCACTCAAGGTCAGAAAATAGGAATTAAATCTAAGAAGGGAGTGTCTAGTGGGGAAATGCAGACCTTGGAGTAAAGACTTCTGTATCGGCTCAGCGCCTGTGGCTCAAGTGGCTAAGGTGCCAACCACATACACGAGAGCTGGCAGGTTCAAATCTAGCCTGAGCCTGCCAAACAACAATGACAACTACAACCAAAAAATAGCCAAGCAATGTTGCGGGTGCCTGTAGTCCCAGCTACTTGGGAGGCTGAGGCAAGAGAAACACTTAAGCCTAGGAATTGGAGGTTGCTGTGAGCTGTGATGCCACAGCACTCTACCCAGGGCAACAGCTTAAGGCTCTGTCTCAAAAAAAAGACTTCTGTACCATGAGGGAGTGTGGTTAAATGATTAAGAGCAGAAATAGAAGCCATCTGGCTGGTTTGAATCCTAACCCTAAAAGCTGTGTGACCTTGGGCAAATTACTTAATCTCTCAGTGCTTTATTTTCCTCATCATGAGAGTGGGGGTAATGACACATGTTAAAGGATTTTGCTGAATTTAGTTAAAGGGAATATAGAGAGAGCTATCTCTTGCTATGTATATGGTTCAGGACAGTACCTAGAATGTAGAAGTGCTAGTGAAAATTACCTCTATCCTTGCTCAAAATATGAGCCCAGCAGTGTTGGCTATTCCCCAGAAGCTTGCTAGAAATGCAGGCTCAAGCTTTTGGCAGCTGTTATAATTAGTTAGTACATGATTTTTCTTTTTCTTTTTTTTTTTT